AGATCTTCAGGACTGTTTTCAATTCAGAAAGAGTGGCTTCATCAGAAGGAGATGGAGTGGAAGCTGTACAAGGCACTTCTCCATGGTAGTCACTAGGTAGTTCTCTAGGTATTCATCATGCTAGAAAAGGCAGAAATGACTCCAGGGATATTATTCAAGTGAGCATTTTCAGCAAGCAAGTGGATCAGGGTGGACGTGAAGGGAAATAACCTCTTTTCTGTGGTGATGTTGTTTTGGCTCTTCACTTTATTGGAATGCTTTGTATAGGGATTCATAACTAAAACAGCCATTTTTGGTTCTTTCATGATTTGTACTAGTCTCAACAATTCCTTTTCTACCTGTTGCAGTTTATTTTGTTTAGATGCAGCAGAATAATGGGCAGTGGCATAGTGACTATACTATACTATATATCTGAACAGGTGTCTTACAAACATAGCAACAGCCTGACCACAGATGTAATGAAGCCTCCCACTCACCAGGAAAGCCTGGACACTGCAGGGAGTCCATGTTCTCCCAGGCAGCTATTGGAGCTCATATATTCTTATCTCACAATAAAGAATCCACATCTGAACCACAGAACAAAAAATATTAACGTGGAAAAGTTTTTAATTCACCCAAGAATGGTACATAACTACTGTTGTTCCAGAACTACAGGAGATAAAAATACTACTTAATTAAAAGGCCTGTTTTGGGACATTATCATTTAATCATCATATGTTAAGAAAGTCCATCTAAAAGGTGTTGAAAGCAAAAAACAGAAAGCTATGCTTTAAACTGGCTACTGAAATAAGAACAAAAATCACTTTCTCTTTGAAACACAAACATCATGTGAGCACACACATATGCATGCACTCACATCACAAAAAGAGGAAAAAAATGTAGTAAAAAAAGTCCTCAGAATGTTTGCATGAATATTCAAGATGATAATGTTATGCTAGTGTTAGGTTATCAGGACACAATTTTCTTTGCAAATCTGTCCTCATCAGAATTTTCAAATTACTTCATATCCCTCCTCAATATTATACGAGAAAGTATCTAACCATGTAATATGAAAAACAGAGATATTTACTGAAGAATAGGCAAGCCTCAGGACCTCACACAACTCACCCAATCACCATCAGCTGTTCTGTTGTATTTTCCTAAATCTCATCGACAGTCTAAAATCTCTTCCTTTTCAAAGGTGATTTTAGTTTTGGGAAAAGTCAGAAGTTGCAGGGCACCAAATCTGGGATGTAGAGGGTCCAAATCTCCTGGATGATTTGCTGTTTCACCAAAAATATCTGCACAAGATGTGATACATGAGCAGGAATGCTATTGTGAAGAAGCTGCCAGTCACCAGTTTCCCATAGCTGCAGTCTTCTGAATCTTCTGAATAGTTTCCGTGGATTAATGTTTAAGCTTAACACAAAACTTGATGCAGAGTCATTGCTTTACTTGCAGAGTCGTTTTGAATGTGACAGCCACACAATACACATCTACACTCAACAGCATCTACAGCCCCTACTGACTACAGCGAAGTCATCATTGTTCATGCATGTACATTCCATTCTACTGTCCTTGCCTGCCAGGTTACATCTATGTCATGCAAATCATTCTCATTATATTAACAATGGTTGGACTTTTTCTGGGCAGACTTCATATATTATATATAAAAGGGAGGAAACAAAAGGGAAAAGGTTGATTCCTACAAGCTGCTTCAAGAATAATATAGCATTTGTTCTGACTGGGACACTCTGAGGGGAAAAAGAAACGAGAACAGAAGAAAAGAGAGTACAAAAGAATAAAAAAGAAAGAAAATGTGAAGAGAATGAAAAGTGCAGGATTAAACTCTTCTGGGTGGCTGCAAATATACATCTCCGGTCAGTTCTGTCATCACCCAAAACAAAATTATGCAAGGTAAAATGCAGAAGGGAAAGAGAAATTATGGAATTGTTACTCCCATCTGGAGACAGAAAGAAGACTAACTGTCTGGGGAAAAATACAACATATTCTACCTATGTCATTACCAAAAATATTCTGTTCATAGAAGTAACTACTAAGGATGAATAATTAGGAAAATACAAAGATTGCGCTATCATGGTTGAGTGAAATTTATTTTTGTTGCTAAGGGAAAATAGTAAAAAAAAAGTGACTAGAGATATAAAACATTTCCATTACTTAAAAGCATTCCCTGATGTACCTTTGCAGTTCCTTCCCGTACCTTTGGAACCAGCCAACCATTAACCTATTACCAATATTGATGAGTTTTGCTGGTTTTAGAATTTTACATAAATGAAACCCCATAGTATGCACTTTTGTAAGTCTGGTGTCTGCTCAGCATAATGTTTTTGAGTTTCATCCGTCTTCTTGCATAGACTAACAATTCATTCATTTTATTAACTAGTAGTATTTTATTACGTGTATATAAGATAATTTCTTCACTCATTACCCCAAAGGGTTGTTTCCAATTTTTGGCTATCATAAATAAAATTAACATAAATATTTCTGTTAAAGTCTTTCTGTGGACACAGTTTCTAATCTTTTGAAGAGATACCTAGGAGTAGAATTGTTAGGTTATATAGAAAATATAGGTTTCTCTCTCCCCTTCTATTTTTGTGATAACAATACTTAACATGCAATCTGTGAGGTGATGGATATGTCTATTGTCTTGCTTGTGGTCTTGGTATCATGGGTGCTTGCATATGTCAAACTCATCAAATTGCAGACATTAAATATGTTCTGTGTTTTGTGTATAAATTATATTTAAATAAAGTTGTGTTTTAAAAGAAATGTTTAATTTTATAAACATATAACATTTTCCAAAGAGATTGTACCGTTCCCATTATTAACGTAGAATAGTCCCAGTTGCTTCATTCTAACAGCAGTATTTGATAAGGTAAGCCTTAAATTTTAACACTCAAGTAGGTTTATGATGGTATCTAAATGTACTTTTCATTTGCATATTTTTAATAATCTGTTGAACATTTTTCTCATGTGCTTATGGCAATTAATATATGTATTTTTTGAAATATTTAAATATTTTGTCAACTTCATAGGATTATTTGTCTTCTTGAGTTATAACATATATAGAGATATACAGTTATATCTATATCTATATATACCTATAATAAGATAATGTATAAAGAATTTGGAAATAATCCTTTTGTCAGATATGTGTATTACAAATACTTCCCATCATTTGCAGAGTGTCTTTTCATAAAATTTCATAAAACAAATGTATCTCTTTAGTCTTGTCCAGGTATATGTCAGTTCTCTTGATCTCTGCCATAATTTACTGAGAACTAGATTATCTTGACATATCTCAGAATATGACATAGCTTAGACTTTACTATGTAAAATAGGTTCATTACATTGATGATAGTGTGCTAATTGTATATGGTGAAGAATAAGCAGTAAACATTCTATAATTTTAGTATATTTGTTCACCAGCAAGAATCACATCTTTTGTGACCAGTTTGACCCAGTGGACTGTAATATTTGACATGAACAACAACAATCTATCATAAACTTAAAAGGGGCATATTGTAAGCTAAGCCTGAGCAGTTCCAAAAAGGTACAGTAAACTGCATTAGCACATGGGTCGGACTCCCAAGATATATTTCTTTATTAATTTTCTCTCTTCACCTCAACCATGTATATGGCCTTGAGGCAGGAGAGAGAAGTGTTGGAAAGGGTTCCAAATGATCACATAGTGGAGAAATAAAAAAAAGTTTTATCACAGATTATGAAATGTATGACAACTAGTAATAGATGCTACAGTATACTGTCATTCAGGGGGTGGCCTTGAAAGACAGAAGTGGAGCTAAATATTTACATTAAACAGAAATTTGAGTGATACATCTGGCTGTCCATCTGGCCGGAAAGATGAGTATCCAGAGATATAAATCTAAAATGACTCATAATCAGAGATTAATAGGTTCAGAGACTGGTCAAAAACTCAAAAAGAACAAAGTTAGAAAATTAGTGACAGAGAGATTTGGAGGAGAGGAATGTACAGGGGCTTGTGAAGAAGGCAATTCCCACATAAATACCCACAATTGATAACCACAGTTATACTGATAACCACAAGTTATCGCCCTGGAACTAATGAGTGTTCAATCTGCCAAATACAATGGGCAAATCTGGGTTCCAGATGACATACCAGTTCTGGGAGGGAGAGCTGGATGGCTAGGTTACGGATTACATTAACACTATCATATTGGAGAAGACAATGCTTTAGTCTGCTTTTACTAAAGTAGACTCTTAAATAATGAATTTGATTTCCTGCCCACAGTTCTTCTTCAGCATCATCATGCATAAACACGAGAACTCATAATATGCTGGTTCCATCTTCCCTGTATTCAATTTACCATTGTATCTGCACTGATCATTTCTTGAGTCACCTCAAACCATCATAGCCATACCTCTCTCAGGGGTTTTGGACAATTATTTATACTACTGTTATGACAACTGATTTCATGCAAGCCTGATGTTACCTTTCCTCAGGCCTTCATTATATGCTCCACACTGCTGGCCCATGACTTACCCATCGCCTCTGAAAGTGACATTTTACTGTGTGTATTCATGCACAACACTCAAGTGTGGTAAAGACAATATCCTTTAAAATCTTCATTCTTATCTAGCCAGGCACTGGTTTTACTTTTTTGTTTTGTATTTAGATATTTTTTCATTTTTCTCACTAGAATATAAGATATAGAAAATATGTTTGTTCTCTTCACTTTTATGTTTCTAATATACTGTACACAAGTGGCAGGTCCATAGTAGGTACCCAATAAATATCTGCTGAAAATAATGAAAAAAAAAACAGCCACTTTCATCGTGCAGCATAGAGAATTTTATCCAGAAATTAACATGTCTATCCATTTTTATTCACCAACACATCCTGTGTGGTTTTAGACTATTTTTGGATTTCTTTTAGTCTTTGGTACATTGTGCTAAGAGAAATATCCAAGGCTGAAACTCTTCTCCATTTTCTTTTACTCTTTTCTGGGTAATATCACATGAAAACATTTAAGGAGATGGAGGCTGAAGATGGCTACATGATGCTGAATGGAAAAAAACTATTTCAAGTACAGGCAGAGATCTAAAGGTAGGAATATGGCTATTCCTCAATCAGACTGCAGTTTAAAATTGAATTATTCTCTTAGGAAGACAATTATATTTGAATAATTTTGAAGTGTTAAATTTAACTCTATTCTGGGACTTTAAAAAAAATGGTCATAAGCTGTAAAAGTTAGTTTATTTAGACTCAGGTAAGCATCAGCAACCAACAAGCAAAAAACAGTACTTTTGCAGACATGGAGCCAGAGAAATGCTAATGAGATAGTATATAATCTCCTCAATGTGGTATAATAAGAATATAAAGGTAATTTTCAAGTGAAGAGTCAAAAGGTAGCATTTTTACAAAAAATTATTCCTCCTACAAAACATAAGATTCTTGAAGCAGCTATTTGGGTACGGTGTCTGTTGAAGATGCTTACAATACTGAGAAGTAAAGATCTAGTGCTCATGGTGGGAGTAGCAAAGGTCCCATAGTGTTTTACAGCTTACAAAAGTATTTTTGTGTATACATATTGCATTTTACTAATCTTCTCAAAGGAGCCATGGAATGGCAGAATAGTCTATTGGGAATGAGAAAGGGCAAAATAAAAGAGAACATCGTTCTTTGTTATTTAGGACTGTTGTATCTGGTCAAGGTTGTTTTGCTTTGCAATCTGTTACAGGTTTACAGGCAAGATTAATATACAACATACGATGTCTAAATCCAGTAGGCTTATAATCAATTTTTTAGGTAGTCCTGTTAAAATAGGATAGAAGCTGGGATGACATGGACCCAAAATTTTAGAATTGCTGGGAAAAACCACAGCTCTGCCATATGGACCCTTGTTGTACATCTTCATGTATTATCCCAGTTTACATCCAGCAAATTCAACATTTTTTCCATAAACATGATGGAAAAAGCCCAAGGTCTTTTTCATGGTGTTAATAGTAGGAAACTAACACTTCCTTTTTCACTAGTAATTTATTTTGATGTAGTGAAAACCAGGATCATTGGACTTGAATTAAATTGAATTGGACTCTAAATCCCACAGATGTAGTGGTTAAACTAAATTATCAACTTTTTAAAAAAATGTATAAATCACTTTGTAATAGACAGATGAGTAAAGATATATAAAATTTGAAGTTAGGTACATAAAATGCAGGATAACAGTCCTTTAAATTATTAGGGAAAGAAGAATAGGGATAGGAACATGAATTAGACCTGTAATTAAGCAAAAATTACATTACTGTAAACATATTTTTGCCTGCCACAAATTTGTTTCTAAGCTTCTTTATAACTGATGAGTAAATGTAATCCAACCAGTTATTTGACATACATTGTAAGACAGTTACACCTACTATTTAAGATGGGTATAAAACCTACAATGACAGTAGACTAAAAGTATTAACCAAACAAGATTAGAAGCAAAGCAAAGATTAGACGAGTATAAGAACTGAAGTAAAAACCAAACTCTAGATCAGGGAAAATGTCAGAAAAAATTAGCAAGTCTGAGGCCAAAGTTGAGGATAGAAAAAAGGGGGGAAAAATGCTACAGCCATGAGTAAACCAAACAAATACTGATAGTTCCTGGGTGAATAAAACTGCTGGCTTGTGGGAGAGTTTGCAAAAATACTTTTAGCATTAATAAAGCATTCAAAAGGAGATGTTCATAGGAAGTTGGGGAGCTGAAGTTGAAAAGAGAGCTGAGATTTTAGGGATGAATTTGGAGATTTGATGTGCGTAAAACATGTAAAACCATGAGGACAGATTAGCAACTAGAGCATTATTTAGAGAGCAAAATAGGGACTGCTACTCTCATAGTACCTGTTATTTTCTCACCAGCACTTAACACAATTATATATTTCAATATAATAAAAATATAATTATGGAAAATAGGTGGATATAATTAATCTTGTTACTAAATCCAGAAAGAAAAATTTCCCATCACAAAACAGATATAATAATACAAGTAGTATTCTAGCAACAGTGATGATAACAAGTCTCATAGAGCATTTCTTAATGTTGCCCCGTGGATGCCAATGGCATGGAGTCCAGCAATTCTGGAATGGGCCAATGCAGGAACTCAAGGTTCTCAGCCCTCCGTTCACCTGGCACATAGTATGCACACTGTAGCTTAGGTAAAGTAATATTAAATTTATATCTATAATATGATTTGGCAATGAGTTAAAACTTTTTCTTCCTGGTAAGTATGGGGTCAGTTAACGTCAGATAAATATGCCTAAGATAGGTATGCCCTCAGAACTTGCAGAAGTACATTTTGAGGGTTTTTCAGTTAAGCAGAAGGTCTTTCCACTTTTGTTTGAGTGCAGATATATCCACAGGCAAGAAAAAAATAGAAACACACTTCATATTTATTTTGTAATAGTGTCAATTGGGTACATTACAAAACTTTTTACAACATATAGCACATCCTGGAACTATGTGCTATAAAGAGATGCACGAAGTCCATAAAGATCAGTTGAAATAAAACATAAAGATTTGAGGAGAACTCTTTTATTATGACTTAGAACAGCAATTTTCAACATTTTTCATCTCATAGAACACATAAAATAGTTACTAAAATTCTGTGGAACACCAAAAGTAGTTTTCTCTCATCTGACAAAAAATAGGTATAATTTTGATTCATTCACACCGAATGGCTATTATTGTGTTGGCTGTTGTCATTTTTTTTATTTGACAATCTAAGGGAAAAGAGGTCAGGCCCCTGACTAAAATGTCAGGTATTAAGCATTTTAAAAATTCTTGCGGCACACCAGTTGGAAATTGCTGACTTAGAATGACTTGTGAAATATACAACTACAGTGATGAAATTAAATGTATGTTTATTTATAAACCAATAAAACCTAGGGAATAATTATCTGAGTATTAAGTTACTTGGCTTTTCCTTTGGGCACTAGGCAAGACAAATTGGCTAGAATTCTTCAAGATTTAAATAATAGTCCTATGATTACATTAAATAATATTCCTATGTCTCTGGAGGTTTCCCATTTATTTCTCTTTAAAGAGGTCATTCCTGCTAACTCTGATCCAGGGTAGTTCTATGGCTAAAGTTCAATATAAGCAGCATTAATTGTAGATCTATGCTGCTTAGGCTGACACTGATTCCTGTCCAAAACATCAAAGCCAAGGAGACACAATTTGTCATATCTAAAGGTGAGATAACATGTGAATATTCCCAGTACAGTGACTGGTACATAGTGGAACTTCAATAAATGTTCCCTTCCTTCTTTTATTTTTTTACAGTGAGTCATTAAAATAAATAATACACATAACATATATATACACTCGACATTGAGCAATCCAAAAATGAAATTAAGAAAAACAATTTCATTTATAATAGTATTATACAGCATTATCATATATTATATATAATTTCTATTTTTACATAGAATATATATGATTTATAGAATATTACATGTGCATATATTTATATACTATGAATTATTATGCATATATGTATATATGTAATATATTTATATTATTTTATATTAGATTTGTATTATATATTAGATTTATATTATTATCTTATATATTTATATTAATGTTGTTATATATAATATAAATTTTATATATTTAAGTTATATTTTATATATTAGTATGTAGCATATATAACACTATATATTATAGATTATATATATTTAATTAAATAAATAATTTTAAGTAATCTGAAACATTACCGAATAACAAAGCAAGGCAGAAAAATGTTTCTAAAGTGGATAGTCACAAGAGTTCTAAAATTCATGAAAAAAAAATCTCAACTTTTCAGATTTTGCATTGTATCCATATTATTATTGTATTATTGTATTATTGTATTTTGATAGTTGGATGCATTGGGATCCTTATTTTCATGATGACAGTGATTGGCCTAAACTTTTCAAGTGCGTATGGAGTTTTTACTTATTTTTGTACTTTCTGAAGATAAATTGATCTTTAATTTTTCTAAATATTAAAATCAAGTCCACAATGTAGTCCAAAATTGGTAAATTAAACTTTCCACTCATATGTCATGTTACAGAATTATTTTAAATTTAAGAAAAATTAAGAAGCACTCAAATATAAGCATTTATAATGCATCTTTTAAAAAACTTCTAGTAAAAGGTTGACTTATAATATTATTAAAAGAATCAGTGATGTATTTTTACAGACTATTATGTGCTCATCGGCATCACTTTGAAAAAATAATAATTTAAATGTATGAATGTGTTAGTTAAAGAAAAAAAGGACCTGTTTGGAAACCATTTAAGGTGGACTTCTGCGCCTTTTTTTCCCCCTGAAGCCATATTTAATGTGTGTATTCTGTGTTCATTTTTCCGAAATAACCAGACCATCACATGGTTCTACAGTTTTCTGTGTTTCTCTTTAAACTGTAGTTCTTGAAAATGTAAGGCTAAAATGGGTAATGCCATATATAATGTCAACATGGAACATAAACTTTGGGGGCCTTTGCAATGAGATGTCTAAATATAGACGAGCCCTAAAGCAAGTTCTCTAAAGGAGACAAAGAAGTAAAGGGTCTATTTATATTGGACAATTATATTTGTTTTTGTATTTTTCCTAATACAATGATAGAAAATGTCAGGTTTTTATAAGATCAAATAAATATTCTCCTTTAGATAATTCTCCTGTACTTTGAATAGCATTTTGGTTGAGAAGTTGTCAACCAATCATCCCTTAATATATTCACCCCTCATATTAAAATCAATTACTGATAATATGAAATTCTCCACTTCTTTAACATTCAATATTAGGTGACTATTTCTTTTTATGAGTTTATCTAAATGAGCATCACTTAACCAGTAATTTAAGATATTGACTACACTGTAATATTAAAACTTTTTTTAAAAGACCCTAAATTCAGGAGCAAATGGTTTCTTTCTGGGCACCAAGTATGATATTTTCTGGCCACCACTCATCTATTGTGACTGAGTTTTCCTCCCTGTAAAATATAAATGGTAAAATGACATAATTTGTGCAATCATCATTCTTTTAGAGAAAGATGTTTTTTACAAGAAATCAGTAAAATTTGACGCATTGATGAAATATAAATGGGGACAGTACTTTTTCATAGTGATCTTTAATTCTAATAAGTTAGTGACAATTTTAATATTTGTGTTTCTATTAAATTTGTGCTTGTACTTTGACCAGTTTAAAAATATTTTTCATGGCTTTCACTTCAAAACAAAGTATTGATCATAAATATTTCTATCTGCTCTTTCCCAAGATTCCATATTAGAACAGTAAAAGATAACAAAATAAAATAAATTAAAAGCACAGAGGTGGAAAGAAAGAAAAATTTATAAAACTGAAAAGCAGATGGGATAATGCTATTGAATTAATCAATGGAGAGAACCACAGTTGAAAGAACAAAGAGCAACAATGGGGATGGAAGGCATTCCTCACAGCAAAACCCAGGCAGGACTCTGTTTTCAGAGATGACTGGGGTGTAAGGAAAGGTCTAAAGCAAAGTAATTAACTAAAAGACTTTCTAAAAAATGTTCTTTTTGGTTGCTCTCTAGACATCTTCTTACTCCACTCATGCCGCGGTATTTGGTGCCATATTATGTCAAAAAAAGAAACAACAAAAAAGGCTAACAAAATCCTTTTAAAACAATCAGCTATATAACTAGAACAAGCGGGGGCTCCTCTTTTACGAGTGGTGGTTGGTGCAATAGTTATTGGTCTCCTTGTTTTGGTTCTGGAGGGGACCGGAGAATTGTATATTGGGTTATTGCATGATTTGGCTATTTCCTGGGCCTTTAAATAGAGAATATCTGAGATAAAACCCCAACATACTGTCCCAGGAAGAACACTATCATTCACAAATTTCCAGGAGAGAAGAGGGGAAAAAAGTACACGAGAGAGAATAAAAATATATATACTTAAAAAGTCTCAGTAAAACAAACAAACACACAAAAACACCAGGAATTTCAATTTATAACAGACAGCCCACTAAATTCAGAATAAAATTCAAAAATAGATATAATAAATAGATGATAAATAGGTGAGATAGACAGACTGACAGGTAGACCAACAGACAGCTAAATCCTCCTTATATTTCAGGATGCAATGGGTAAGATACAATCCTAAATGTTTACATAAAGAATAATTTTTTTCCCAAGGCAAAAAGAAACAAATTGGCATCAGATTTTTAAATATATATAAAATGACACCACTGTAGTAGTTCTGAACTTCATTTAACTTGTTTAATATAATTTTTTCTATGCATTCTTTTGGAACAAATAAAGGAGGAGCATTGCTAATATTAAACATAGTAAAACTAGCCCAAGAATGTAATGAAAAGACATTGCAGGTTATCAGCTGTTCTGTGTTCCAGAAAAGCAAATAATTTAGTCTGCATGAAAACAATCTATGAATAATGCAGCTAAGAAGCTGAAGGCACTTGATATGATACAAAAGGTGTATCTGGAACAAATAAAATAACATCAAAAATAGTATACAAAGAAGCAATAGGTATGAGGTTTAAGAATGCATACAATATTTAGAATTGTGATTAGCATTCAACAGAATAAAAATATAAGAAGAAGTGGCTAATTCTGGGGAAGAAGAGGAGTAGGTGCCTAATAGAAGATAAATACATTCAGTTTTTTTATTCTCATATACCTAAGTTGCTCTTCATGTTACTCATTATATTTTTTCTTTGCACTGAATACAGATAAAAAAATGGATTTCTCAAAGAATGTAAATGTCAACAGTCAAGCAGGTAATATGTTTTTGTCTGGTATGCGCTATTTTATGTTTGAATAAAAAAATTCAACCAATGTGTCACACAAATTAAATATAAGGTTTACTATACTTTAAAATGGGTATATAATAACCACATCATAGTAAATATTCAGTGCAGTTTAAACCAGATGTGATGGTTTATTTTATATGTCGACTGAGCTAGGCCATGAGTGATACCCAGATATTTGGTCAAACACTAACATAGATGTTGCTGTGAAAGTACTTTTTAGGTGAGATAAACATTTAACCAGGTAGATTTAAGTAGAGCAGATTATCTTCCATTATATGACTGGTCCTCATTCAATCCACTGGAAAGCTGAAGAGAAAAAATATTGAGGGTCTCCAAAGGGAGAGGGGATTTGGCCTCCATACTCCAGACTCCAGCTGCAACATCAACTCTTCCCGAGGTCTCTAGCTTGCCAACCTGCTCTTCATGTGAGCCAATTCCTTGAAATAAGTTTCTCTCTTTCCCTCTCTGTTCATTCAATTTCCCTAATACACAAGGTAATATAATATGGAGGCATTATGATGCATTAGTTGACCAGATGGCCCGCAGAGACAACTAGGTTGGAACTGTATCTGCTATTTATCTGTTGTTATGACTTCAGGAAAATTATTCAATATGTGACTCAATTTCTCATCTGTAAATTGGGGGTGATAATAACATCTACTTTAGAAAGTTTATTTTATTATATTCTTAGATTTTTATTATGAACACTAGAAGTAAAACTAGGTACCTTTCAAACAGCCTCAAAAATTGTTAGTATATAATCAGTATTATTTCACTTATATCTCTTCCTTTAACACACTCCCAAACTAGATTGTATTAAAGCAATTACCAGATATCATGCCATTTAATATTTAAATATTTCACTACATGATTCTTACAGTTAAAGACTCTTTGTGCTTAACACAATCACAACATCATTAAAACTCCTGTGTTAGTTTTCTCTTGATGTACAATAGATTACCACACATTTACCACTGGGCACAGCTTAACTAGGTCCCCTGTTCAGGGTCTCATGGGATAGTTTAGATGTTTGTCAGACCACACACATTTCTGGAGCTGAGGTTCCCCCTGCAAACTTATGTTGTTGGTAAAATTCAGTTACTTGTGGTTGTAAGTCTGAGATCATTGCTTTATTGCTGGCTTTCACCCAGGACTGCTCAAAGCTCCTGAATTTCCTTGCCATCTGTACTTTCACATATACTCTTGAGACATGGAAATTTAATTCTTCAGAGCCAATAAGAATTCTTTCTCTCTTCAAGGAAGGCCTAGTCCGTTTTATAAAGTCTTGTACCTGACTAAGTCCTGACCTCCTGGAGTAATCTCTCTTTTCATGAACTCAAAATTAACTGACTGGGGACTCTTTTTTTTTTTTTTTTTTTTGTCTTTAAAATCCCTTCACCTTGACATATAATAAAACTTAACCATGGAAGTGATATCCCATATTATTCACAGGTCTCACCCACATTCAAAGAGGAGGAATTACACAGACCATGTACACCACGGGGCAGGAATCTTGGGAACCATTTTAGAATTCTGTCTACCACAATGCCTAACAAAATTAGTATTAGCTTCTTAATACATCTATTATCTAGTCAGAATTATAATGTCTTTTTATTTTCCTTTGATTTGTTAGAATCACAATCAGAAGGAAGACCACAGTTGTATGTATATGCTTAAAATGTCTCAGTGTCTCTTGAATCTCTTAATCTTCAGGTCCTCTTTATTTCATTTATTTTCTCTTTGCCATTTATTTGTTGGAAAAAATGGGTCATGGTTTCATATAATATCTCATACTCTGGATTTTTTTCTGATTATATTTCAATCATGTCATTTAACATTTTCCATTATTTAATAAAGTTATTTTTAAAAACTAAATATATGCTGGGTGCTTAGAAACCCACAATAATGGTTATATGTGTTTGTTGTTATTATTATGTAAAACATTTGAGACGAGAATTTATACAAAGTGTGGCTAAATAAATTTCTTTTCTCCATCCTCATCCCTATAATATTTCTTTTTATAGAAGATAAGGCTGGAAGCTAAGTTAACTCTAATAGCTCTTTGGATAATTGGCATCCACATTTTGAATCATGTTTTGGTGGTTTAGCATATTACACTGATCATTTGAACTTTTTAAATACATTTTTGCAGCTCTGAACTGTACTTTATTTACCTGTCTATCAACATCCACTTAAAGGAATCATTTGGTCCAAATGATTCCTTCTCACTAATAATAGTAAATAAATAGCTCCTCTCAAATTTAACTTGGGAGGTATATTTGAACTTATTTTACATCCCTTAGCACACACCTATGAACTTGTTCAGGTGAAATTAGAATCCAGTTATCCTGAGTCTTTTTTTTGCAAAAATATAACTATTTAGAATTAACAACTTTTGCCCTGGTACAAAGTTTATCAACTTTGTAGAGTTTAATTAATTTTTCTTACATTTTCTTTCAGGAAATAATTGTATGTGCCAAAATGACTGGCTGTTGAACCAAGTGAAGTGTTACAAGTTTTCAACTTCTTCTAAAACTTGGAATGAGAGCCAACGTGACTGCACAAAGCTTCAGGCACATTTGCCAGTGATTTACAATTTGAAAGAGCTGGTGAGGAATCAAAAATGGGATCTAAGTGCTCAAGGAGGAATTGTTAGGTGTAGTTCTAACAAGTGTGGGTAACTTACAGTCATTGATTTGAACATTCATTAGCCCTAATTTAATTACTATTGTTTATTATAAGAAAGCTCTTATTTAGGAAAGAAATAATTATTTACTTTTTCATTAATGCTTGGCATAATGCCTTACTCTGTAGAAGACATTGACATGTCTTTGAATGAATGAATGAACTATTCCTTCTGTAGGAATTCGTACAGAATAGTTTAAAACCTGGACAGCCTAGTTGGATTGGACTATACATTATGCCCCCAAGAAAAGAATGGATGTGGATAAATTAACACCATTTTGTGGAACAAAAAAAGTAAGTTATTATTTGAGGGAGAAGGATGATATAATGATGCTGTTTTAATTATAGAAAAGTATTTTTAATTAAGCTTTCTTGATTTCCAAGGTTTTTTTTAACCTTTGTTCTTTCTTGCCTCACTTCTTTTCAAATTATTTTTCTCCTTTTTTGTTTCTACCACTTTTTGTCTTTCTTTCTTTCTTTCTTTTTCTTTCTTTTTCTTTCTTTCTTCCTTTCTTCCTTTCTTTCCTTCTTTCTTTCCTCCCTCCTTCCCACTCTCCCTCCCTTCCTTCCTTCCTTCCTTTCTTCCTTCCTCTTCTTTTTTTTAACATTCAGTAATGTTGAGAAATTGGGTTAGAAAGTATTCATTATGGCATTTGGAAATTATGAATTGTCAAAAAATGGTTATTTTAAAAATTATTAAGCTGACTTGAATCTCATTAAAATATATTGAAACAAATATTTTCTAGATAGTAAATGCAAAAATAACATAAATTTACAAATAAAAGCACGTAGAATATGTAAAAATGTCTCATGAGTTGCTATCAGAAAGTGTGAATTGAGGAGATGGAAAAGTCAGTGGAAACTACACTAACCTCCTCCCAGGACCAATCTGGAATTACCACTAAATTGTATAGAAATCATCTGGAATAAACAACTGAACAATAGCAGGAAAGAAGCCTTATAACCATGGACAGACAGAAGACAGCTTCACCACAACATGACTAGTATGGAGTGTGGAGGAGATGCAAGAGGGATGGGTGGGCTCCCACAGACGACAGCTGAAGTGCCAGAGGGATATTTCAGTGGCGAGGAGGTTCCACCTGAGAAGTGTGAGGTCTAAATCCCAATCTGGTTTCCCCAGGCTACAGCACCAGAGCCCCAAAAGAACCCAGATAATACCCAGCTGTGAAAAGCAGCAGGGTTTCTCTATGCCAGGGACAGATTGCTAGAGTCACAGAAGCCTTTTAAAGGGCTAACACATAAAATTTCATTTGCGGCCACTTATCCTGGGTTCTGGCAAAGGAGGATCAGAGTGGACTAGAGGTGCCTGAGGAGAGACTGGGGACAGTGGCTTTGCGGAAAGAACTGAGGGAGCGGCTGCCAGGATCCTGGTGCCGAGTCATCCCATATACTTCATGAGCCATTTTGCTAAGGCAGACCATTCCCCTCCAAGTGGCATCAGCCTGCGGGGAAGCAATAGCAATCCTGCCAACAAGAATTACTCTGCCCAACCCTGTGACTGCTGAGTACAGCGTGACTAGATTAACACCTGAAGGAGTCAGCCATAGACTGTGGATCCTTGGTAGTCTTGAACAGGCTGCCTAGGGCCAGACTAGGACACGATCTGACATCACCAGAGCTAGATACAGAAAGAAAAAACAGTGGTAAATACTAGATGCAACCAAGATGAATTCCACCATGGTCTTCTTCATGATGTGTGATATTATGTCTCCTGCATAGCTTTTTAGCATTCATTTCTTGTCCTTCAAATTTGTGCATATTGTCACTAGATTTTATATTATAGTTTATTTCATATCTCATAATTTGCTCCTCTCTTCTCCTACCCCATTTTACCCTCTTCTTTTCTTATTTTCATTTAAAATGTTTTCTGTCTTGCTATGACCTGTTTCCATTCCATATTCTTACTACTTCTCCACCCTCCCGCCTCTCAAAACCATTTTTCCTGTCATTGACCATCTCACATTCTTTTGCCACCATTAAAATACCCTTATTCCCTCTCCACCTTTATCAGTCTTTACTCATTGGTTATGCATAGTGTAATTGTTTTTGCATTTTTTTCAATTTTATCTCTAGATATTCACTATTTTGGTATTTCAAATCTCAGATTTTTACCATTCCTGTCTCCTTCTCCATTCTGCTTTCTTCTCTGTCTTTATTTCATCTCTGATTTTGATATTTCCCTGTCTTAGCCTGCTTTTCATTCCTCACTCCTAGTATCCTTTCTCCCACTATCATCTCAAAATCACTTACCTTTCTTCCATACATATCTGAAGCTTTTCTTTCTTTCTTTTCTCCCCTCTTATTCCCATCTCACATGTATTAATCTCAGCTCATCTGTTGATAGTGCTGTAGTGGACCTTTTCTTCCAATTTGGTTCCTATTTTTTATTTGTTTACTTATTTTTTTTATTTTTCTATATATCTTTCTCTTGCTATATATATATATATATTTTTTTTTAATTTCTGTTTAAACCTAATGCTATATACTTCCCTTTTCTTGCTCCATTCTGCCTTCTTCATTCCCTTTTTTATTTACAATGTAAATTTTACTTTCTCTCTTTGCTTTGCCCCAATTCCCTACTCTTATTATTGTTCCTCCCTCTACCCTCTCAAAATCATTTTTCTTTCAGTCATCTCATATTCATTTCTCTGTTATTAGAATAATTTTACTCTATTTATACCCTTATTAATATGGACTCATTTGCTGTTGATAGTGTGATTTTGGGTGGGGTTTTTTTTTTTTGCAGGTGTGGATTTGTTTCCTGGTCTCTGTGGTTTGGTTCTAACAACACTTGCACAACAGGACATGGTAGATGGACTGACTCTTAGTCAGCCAACTAGAGAAAAGGACCCACCAAAAAATATCCAAATGATCAAAACCCAATTACAACCAGAAAGCTAACAAAAGAGCATGAAAGGCATCCTAAGAGCATCAAGTTCAGGAAATCAAGGAGACTGATTTCCCACAGGGACCCTACAGGTCTCCTAAAATAGAAGGTCATACCACAAAGACCAGAAGTCAAACAGATCAATCTAAGAATCAGAAACAAACAAGAAAAGTTCCTAAAAATGGGAAGACAAAGAAACAACCCTCAATCAAAAGGAAAGGAGGAATCCCCAGAAAGAGTGCTAAATGAAATAGAGGCAAATAAACTGTCAGACATCGAGTACAAAACAATGGTGATAAAGAAGCTCAATGAGCTCAGTGAGAACTACAAAGAACTACAGGGAGGCTACACGGAACTTACTGTGAAATACGTCAGCATGAAAAAGGACATAGAAACTATCAATAAAAGCCAGGAGGAAATGAAGAATATAATATCTGAATTGAAGAACACAGTAGAAGGAATTAAAAGCAGGCTAGATGAAGCAAAGGATCGAATCAGTGAGCTGGAGGAAAAGGTAGAAAAAAATTCCCTGACGGAGCAACAAAACAAGAAAAGACTCAAAAAGAATGAAGAGGGTTTAAGGGAGCTACAGGACAACTTAAGCAAGGAGGTAAAAGACCTGTACTCAGAAAACTACAGAACACTGAGAAAGAAATTAAAGAGATACAAACAAATGGAAGCGTATACCATGTTCACGGATTGGAAGAGTCAACACCGTTAAGATGTCCACACTACTCAAAGAAACCTATAGATCCAACACAATCTCTATTAAAATACCAATGACATATTTCACAGATATAGAACAAATGTTTCAAAGATTTATATGGAATCAAAAATGAACCCAAATAGCTCTGTAATCTTGAGAAAGAAGAACATAGTAGAAGGGATCACAGTACATGATATCAAACTATACTACAAGGCCATTGTAATCAAAACAATCTGGTACTGACATAAGAAGAGACACATAGATTGATTAAACAGAATAGAGAGCCCAGAAATAAACCCATGTCTCTATGGTTGATTAATATTTGTCTAAAGGGCAGAAACATAAAATGGAGTAAAAAATAGCCTCTTCAAAATTGGTGCTGAGAGACCTGGAATGGTACATGCAAAAAAATGAAACTCAACCACCAACTTATACACTAGAATAAACTTAAACTAGGTAAAAGACTTAAACAAAAGCCATGACACCATTAAAATTCTAGAGGAAAACATAGGCAGTAAAATTTCAGATATCCCATGCAGCAATATTTTTGCCTATACACCCTCAAAGGCCAGGGAAATTAAGGAAGGAATAAACAAATCGGACTATGTCAAATTATAAAGCTTCTGTACATCTAAAGAAAACATCTTCAAAATGAAATGGGAGCCAACTGTATGGAAAAATATATTGGCCCATGGTACCTCAGACAAGGGTTTGACCTCCAAGATATATAAAGAACTTATACAACTCAATGTCAGGAAGACAAACAATCCAAATAAAAAAATGGGCAAAGGACCTGAACAGACCCTTCTCCAAGGAAGACATACAGAGGGCCCAAATACTTATGAAAGGATGTTCAACATTACTAGGCATCAGAGAGATACAAATTAAAATCACAATGAGATACCACTTCATACTGGTCAGAATGGCCATTGTTAACAAATCAACAAATAACAAGTGCTGGGAAGGATGTGGGGAAAAGGGAACCCTAGTGCAGTGCTGGTGGAAATGCAGACTGGTGCAGCCACTATGGAAAACAGCATGGTATTTTCTCAAAAAAATAAAAAATTAAACTGCCTTTTGACCCAGCAATTCTGCTGGGACCATACCCTAAGAATCCTGAAACACCAATTCAGAAGAACCTATGCTCCCCTATATTCATAGCAGCATTATTTACAATAGCCAAGTGCTGTAAACAGCCTAAGTGCCCATCAGTAAATGAGTGGATCAAAAAACTGTAGTACATTTACACAATGGAATATTATGCAGCAGAAAGAAGGAGCTCCTACCTTTTGCCACAGAATGGATGGAACTGGAGAGCATTATGCTAAGTGAAATAAGCTGGGTGGCGAAAGACAAATACCCTATGATCTCACTTATAATAGGAACATAATGAACAAAACAAACAAACGAGAAAAATAGAACCAGAGGCATGGAAACAAGAAACAAACTGATAGAGATCAGAGGGAAGAGGAGAGTGAGATAGGGGGGAAAAGAAAGGGAAGGGCCTAGTTAAAGGATAAGTATAAATGACCGATAGACGTGGACAACAGGGTAGGGATTACTGTGGGAGCAAAGGGTGGGAGGGTGGGCAGGGCAGGGGAGAACAATGGGGGAAAACTGGTACAACTCTAATAGAACAATAATAAAAAATTTTAATTAAAAATATTTTAAATTACTATAAATAGTGCCTATCGTATAAACATTCAATAAATGCTAACTTTTTTTTTAAAGGTTTAAATTAAAAAATTTGCCCTTAGAAAATTTTCTCAAGCTTATTGATAACAGAAGTTTCTCTTACAATGTTCTTGTGTGAAAAACAGAAAGTAATGTATGCAAGAGTGCTTTAAAATTCTTTAAAAAAAATATTTATTTTTAGAAAGGGGGAGGAAGGGAGAGAGGGAAACATCAATGTGTGGTAGTCCCTTAAGCGCCCCCTACTGGGGACTTGGCCTGCAACCCAAGCATGTACTCTGACTCGGAATCAAAACAGCAACCTTTCTGTTTGCAGGCTGATGCTCAATCCACTGAACCACACCAGCCAGGGCATAATTCTTAAGTGTCATGTACATTTACCTGTTTTCCCCTGTGCCCTCATTTTCTTTGCAATTTACACTGCTAGGGCAGTTAAACTTGGCAAAGAGCACCAGAGACCTGGCAAGTGAAAGCAAAAGCCATGGACTGATTGTTCATTTTAATCTGGATATTTATACTCCTACTATCCATCATCTTTCATGAATATAAAAGTAAAACATGAAGTGTTATTCAATTTTTTGGACCTATTTTGATGGTAGTCTTTGAAAAAATTAGTAAGAAATGTGTAGGTTTTTGGTTGTTTTTTTTTTTTAATTTGGAAATCAAGATATTGTTAGGGCAACACATCTTTGTTTTTATTTTATTGATCATGCTATTACAGTTGTCCCAGTTTTTCCTCCTTTGTCCTCTTAAAATGAGTGTTTTCAACTCTGCATCTGATACATTAGTTAACCTCAATTTTGTTTAGTTATTTTTCTGGAGTTTTCATCTGTCCTTTCATGTGGGCCATGTTTTTTTGTCTCTTCATTTTGGCAACCTCCCTGTGTTTGTTTCTATGTATTAGGTACAGCTGCTTTGAATCCCTGTCTTGGTATCATGACCTAATATAGTAGGTGTCCTAAAGGTACATTGGCTCAGCTTCCCTTAGCACCCAAGATGGGTACTCAAGATACGTCCTTTGTGTGGGCTGAGTACACACTCCTCTGGTAGTTGAGTTTTGACTGCTGTTGGAAGGTCAATGGGAGGGATTTAACCAGGCAAGTCAGCTGCAATGATTGGCTGTGACTGCTTTCCACAAACCTCCACTCCCTGTAGAGGATCATCTGTGCAAGGGCAGGTTGGTGGTGCTCCAACATGGTCTGTAGCTGTCCACTGGGGTTTCCCAGGTGGTGCAGGCAAAGGTCTTCCCCGACCTGTGTTTTCCTGGGGACCACCCTGCCTGAACTACAGAGCAATCCGAGATGGCTGCTACTTGGGCTGGGCTTGGAGATTCCCAGGCAAAGCCGAGCTGTGAATCTAAGCTGGAGGTGCTGGGCCCGGTGATAGTTAGCAAGAGGTAGAGTGGATGGGGGCTCACTGAGGCTGGCTGTTGCTTGTTTGAGAGAATTTAGGAAGTTATGAAGTATGAACCAAGATCAGCCACTTACATGGGAAAGCAGCTTGGGTGGGCCCATATGTTGGGTGGGGCAGAGACTCTGGGGGTCTCCAAGGCAGGTCAAACAGTGTTAGCTAGTTTGACGGAATCTCAAAATGGTACCAGCTTGCTGGATTTGTGGCTCTGTGCGGGGAGGATTTAGAAAAGGGACAATGGCCTCTGCTTCCCTTGATAACAGACACTTCAGTTTTTCCCTGTATGCCACTGGCGCCTTTCAGGCTGCGGCCATTCTAACATTGGCTGAATTACCTTTCAAAGAAAATTATTTATGCTGCTATGTGGAAAATTAATATACAGGAAGTAAAATTGAAACTGAAGTTTAGTTAGAAGACAATGACCAGATATAATGGAGAGGTACCAGTAGCCCAAGCTAGAAGTGAATGAATATGAGAACTTACCTGGGGAAAGAATACCCAGGACTTGCTGATGTACGTAAGGCAAGAGTTTAGAGGGAAGGAATGAACAGGGATGGTTCTAATCTTCAAGTCTGAGCTTCTATGTTGATGTTACTCAAATAAGAGGGACATTCAGGTAGGTGCGAGGATGAGGGGAGGGGCTTGGAGGGCAAGCAAATCAAGAGTGACCAACTACAGTCATTGGCATCACCAGAAGGGTCCATTTGAAAACCTCTGCAACATTTTGATGAGGAGTTACCTATATGAGTTCGGCTGGAGAAAACTTTAATAAATACAACTATTATTATAGTTTAAATTATCTAAAGTTTACCCTTTATATTCTAGCTTTTCAGTTATTGGACCAACTGATAGCATGAGCTGTGCTGTCACAACATGAAATCAAGTGAATTCCGAAGACTGTAACTCCAAATTTTATGGCGTTTGCCAGAGATGTTGTCCGAATAGAAGATAATCTGGGCATTTAAATAAGAAACTGGAAGAAATGTGTATGTATGGACAGATGTTAACATTGGCTGTTCATTTCGTTAGAGTAATTCAAATCTGTATTTTTATTCAAATATAAACTTTTAAAATATTTTATACAGAAATAAGACTCAAATGAAAATATAAAATTTATTTTCAAACACGGACACATGATTCCTTATTGTTTTCATGTCTAAAAAATAAAATTTAATCTTTTCCTAATCCTGTCTATTCCCCACATGTGCCCTATCCCTTGGGTTCTTTCTAACCATTTGATGAATAAACCAGGCACCAAATAGAGATACACCATTTTTTCTTTATTGTGGGCATTTACCTCAATTTGATTGTCTTCAATTTTTATCAAAAACAAATCAAACTTTCAAATGATAATAAAAATGTTTAGATGTTGTAAGCGTGTCTATTTCAAGTAATATATAATCTTGTTTATGTGATTTCACAATTCTTTAATAAAATTTATTTTAAATATTATATTGCAAATTTTCCTGTTTTCTAACTGAAAGTTTATAAAGTTTATTTTTCTTCTCATTTATTTAAAACACAAATTTTAGAACAGATGCAGCAGTTTGCGTCCATTATATAAGTAGGGTAGTTCTTTAACTTCAGGAAGTTGTGTGTAGTTCATTCTAAATCATCAGTAATTTTTACCCTAGGAACTCTGAAGTAAACTTTTTTTAAAAAAGGTTGTTATTATGAATTTCTAAGCAATTAACATGAACTGACTTATAATCATGAACCTACAATAAAAATCTATATTATGAATCAAAATTTAATACATCTGTAATACAAAAGTGTCTAAAAATGATCATTTTCAAGTTTTCTTGGTTACTACATGATGCACAGATGTAAAGTGCCCGTACCTGATTGCATGCTGACTTTTGCCAGGATTACTAGAAGTCATTTGCAGTCACATAAAATGCCAGGTAAAAGCAATGACGGGTGGGGCTCATAAAATTCTCCTTTTATCATTTATCCGAAAATTTCACCTGCAATTAAGGAATTAAGCCTTCAGTAAAGGTATAAAACAACTTGTGTTGTAAATTAGATACTCCCTTTTTCTCCAGATTCTCTTCCCTGATAAATGTCTCTTTCTCCACTTACACTCACATTCCTTCTTATATTCATGATTACTGGTACTTAGAAAGGAAAGTAAATTCAAGCTAGTGTAACAAATACAGCCTTGATATAATTTTTCAAATGCTCTGCAGAATTTGAATTTTATGACACACTCAGGCATATGTCAAATGCATCTTTCTTTGTCCTTATTTGTAAAATTAAATGTTTACAAAAACCTATTGTTTGGTTACTTTTGATGTTATTCTAGTATATGTTCTACAGTCTAAGATTTGTAACTTTAATGTGTAATTCTAATTATTTGTGATTTGTTAATGTCAGGGTACTTCCTGGTGGGTTTTCCCATGTTTTTAGGATGAAGTCCAAGACACTATGTTTAGTATTCTATAATATTTACACATATAGAGCACTTATATTTCTCTAACTTTTAAGCTCTAAGTCTTGGGTGGCCTATCAATATAGATCCATTTTAAATTTGCTTTTTATAACCATCATTGCAGTCACAGGGCATCTAATTGTTTATTGTTGCTTTCTTTGTTCCTTTGTAATAGAAACTTCCTGACTTGTGCTCATAATGGACAATTATGTGTCTTGAATTGATGAGGTTTTGCCTGTAATTATTCATTCAATAATTTTTAGCTCCTTATGTCACCAGACAGGTTCTGAGCTGAGGGGACCCCGCCCTGATACAGTATGGGTCTTTGAGGTGCCTGACCCATGCAGGAAAGAATTAAAAAAACAGTCTGAGTTAGAAGAAAAGCAAGTTTTATTTACGTAGAACTTAAGTTACTGGGACAGGGCCAAAGGCTGAGCCTGTGACTGGCTGTCCCAGAGTGGGGGCAGATGAACTCATGAGGTGTGGTCTGTTCTTGGGATTTCATGTGTTTATAAGACGGGGTTGTTTCTGAATTTTGTAGCACCAAATTATGACTTTCTCTTCTGATTGGGAGGAGGGTCTTTTCCCTACAATGGTGTGCTCTAGCAGTGTCATGGCGTTTGTCCGCCCCCGTTCCCCTTCTACTTGTGGTATGAGTAAGGGTGCCATTTTACTTTTTTAAATTGAGTTGGGGTGACATCGGTTAGTGAAATTTTACAAGTATCAGGTATACAATTCTACAGCACATCATCTGTCTACTGCATTTTATGTTTACCACTCCAAGTCAAATCTCCGACATCACCATTTATCTCCCCTTTATGTTCTTGCTGGTCAATGTTTCCTTCATTTTGGATTAATGTTTGTAGCCAGTCCTTGTTGTTGTTTACTTCTGGGGTCACCAAAGGAGTTTTTCCTACCATAACTGTTTTCCTTTGATCATGCCTGGAGGTGGGGATTCTGATGAGAGAAGCTAGGGGCTTATCTGCCTGTGCTGTCCTACTAACCTCCTCATTCCACTGGTTAGTTTTCCCTAATTCTTCCTATCTTGCCTCACTTTCACAGAACGAGAAGTGAAAAACAATTTTAGTCTTTCACTTTATCTTCCAAGCTCTCCGTCATTTTGCAATGGGAGGGACATCTGCCAGAAATGGGGGAGGATTTGGGAGGTACTAAGGACAGCACAAGTGTATATTGCCCTGGCAACCAGGACAAAGCACACATGACTACTTCCACCACACAGGGGGTTCTGGGGGAGTCTTCAAAAGCAGAGTGTGTGGAAACGCCACAGGATTTGCAGTCCCCTCTCCTGATAGCCCAAGTCATTCACCAGTTGCTTTGGTATCCAGGCTGGCAGGAGGAGATTGCGTGGTCCAGAGGCGTTCCCAACACCACTTCTGCAGCAGTACCGGGCCTCCCTGGAGAGCAATGGGCCCAGGTCAGTGGGCTCTGGGTGCTGTGCAGCTGGGCAGCAAACCCTGCCCCCACCATGGGAAGCTGTGCCTGGCAGCCACCGGTCCTGCTGCCCACATGTGCTACTCCAGCACAGATTCAGTGAGCAACAGAGCTGCCATTGTTGCTCCAACTGCTCCAGCCTGAGCAGGGCCTTGGACCCACCACGCAGACGCACCTGAAGGTGCTCAGCCAGTTGGTGCTTTGCACCTTGGCCGGCTCTGGAAGTCATGTAGCCAGGTTGCCGGTGACAGGCCCACAGCTTGCACGACAGTGCCACTGTGTATTTGCAGCAGTGGTCAGCAGCTTCCCCAGCCAGGTCTGGAAGCTGCCTGGCTAGGAGCATAGTAGCACTGGTGAGATGACGCAGAAGGGACAGGGAGCAAGGACTGGACCGACAGACAGAAGCAGGAGGAGCAGCACGCACGGATGCAGGACCAAGGGACACCTGGAGCAGACCATGACCAGAAGCATGCTTAAGCCACCTGTGGTTTCCCAAGGATGGCACTTCTAAAGGGAAAGGGAATTCCAGGTGTGGCCTACAACCAGTCGGGCCTGGCCGAGGGTGTCAACGTTATTTTTCTTTGGATATTTTTTTACAAAGGAATGGGTTTTGGGGCAGAAACCTACCTTTATTTCAAATTGTATGGACATTAAATAAAAGTTTTCTTTTTCCTTTCTACAGAGCTTTGTTTCCAAAAAGTTTTGCCTGCATGGCAGCTAGTGTTGGGACCCCCACTGGCTGGGTTCAGTAAAAATTTCCCAATTTTTTCCTCTATTAAAATTTAGGTTTGCTGCAAATCCATTTCATATCATCCAATCCTCGGGAACTATAGACTCCATCAGCATTCAGAAAAGCAAAAGATCCATTCCCACTAATTTCAAACCTAAAAAAAGGAATAACCAAAATCAGTTTGGAAACCATTTTCAGCTGTAATCAAAAAATAAAATTAAAAAGAGTGATTCTACATGTTTTATACAAAACACTGAGCTCCATACTCACCCATCACCATAAGCCACACAAAAATATCTGGGACATTAAAGGAAAGTAACACTGAATGTAGGTATTTATTATTAGTGTAATGTGTAATCTTATTCAGAACAATAGGAAGATGATTTGGATAGACATGGATAAATCAGTGATATAATTATACCTCCAGGAGGAGTTTCAAGATGGTGGAGGAGTGAATAAGAAGTCACACTAACCTCCTCCCAAGCTAATCTGGAATTACAACTAAATTGTGGAGAGACTACCCGGAACAAACAACTGAACAATATTGAGAGAGAAGCCTTATAACCTCGGACAGAGAGAAGAATCAGCTTTAGCACAACCTGATTGGTAACACCACCTGACTGGTAAGGAGTGTGGTGAGACTTGAGAAGACTGGCTGGGTGCCCGCAGGGCAACACCAGAGGGATATTTAAATGGCCAGCTGGATCCCCCTGAGAAGAGTAGGGTCTAAACAATAAGTGGGGAACCACAGACTACAGCTCCAGAGCCCAAAAAAGTACACAGATAACAGCCAACTTCAAAAAGCAGCAGGGTTGCTCTCTGCCAGAGAAGGAGGGCTGGAGATGCAAAGAGCCATTTAAAGGGCCAATGCATAGATTTTTGTTTGCAGCCTCTGACCCTGGGTGCTGGCAAAGGCAGGGCAGAGTGGACTAGAGATGCATGAGGAGAGACTGGGAAAAGAGGTTTTGGGGAGAAAACTGAGAGAGTAGCCAGCGGGATCCTGGTGCTGACTCATTTCCCATATGGCAGCAGCCATCTTGCTCAGGCAGACCACTCCCCTGAGCAGCAGCAGCCTGAGAGGAAACAACAGTCCCACCCTCAAGTAGGGACTCTACCCTGGTCCTGTGGTGCCTAAGCCTGAGTGCCGAGTGCAGAATGACTAGATTAACAACTGAAGGAGACAGCAAGAGACAGTAGTTTCCTGGAAGTCTCAGACTACCTAAGGTCAGAAGGGATCAACATCTGACATCATCAGGGGCAGATCCAGAAAGTAAAAAACAGCAGTAAATACTAGAGGCTACTAAGACAAAATCCATCATGGTCTCTTCCATGATTTGTGGTATTTTCTTTACTACACAGTTTTTTAACGTTCATTTCAGGTCCATCAAGTTTGTGCATATGAAGTCATTAGATTTTATAATAATAGTTTATTTCTTGCCTATCTTCTAATAGTCGTAATCTCTTTACAGCCTTATTAATACTGGCTCATTTGCTGTAGATAGTGGAATTACAAGGGAGAATTATTTTTGAGGCTGTGGGTTTGTGGTTTTGTTCTGTCGGCTCCTGCACAAAAACACATAAGATGTGGTGGGCAGAGTGACCCTCGGTCAACCAGCTGGAGGGGAAGACCCACCAAAGAATGACCAAACAACAATCAAATGCCAATTATTTCCAGAGAGCCAATATATACCACATAAAAGACATCCAAAGAGCATCAAATTCAGGAGATCAAGGAGACTGCACCACTGAATATTAGAGGTCTCCTACCATAGAAGTTCACACCACAAAGTCAGAGTAGCAATATTTATATCACAAAATAGATTTCCAAACAAAGGCCATAAAAAGAGACAGAAGGACACTTCATTACACTCAAAGGAAGAATCCATCAAGAACAGATAAACATTGTAAACCTATATGCATCAATATATATATTTCCAAATATATAAGGAAAATCCTGGAGGACTTCAAGAAAGATATAGATAGCTACACACTGATCGTAGGGGATTTTAAAACCCTGCTGTCAACAATGGATAGCTCTTCCAAACAAAATATCAACAAGGATATTGTAGAACAGAAAGACACATTAGATCAAATGAACTTAACAGACATATACAGAATCTTTCATCCCAAGAAGTAAAATACACATTCTTTTCAAATGCACATGGAATATTTGCAAAGATAGACCACATGATAGCACACAAAACAAGCCTCAACAAATTCAAGAAAACTGAAATTATAACAAGCATTTTCTTGGACCACAGGGGCTTGAAACTAGATGCCAACCTCAAGGAAAAAACGCAAAAAAATTTGAAACTCATGGAGACAGAATAGCATGCTATTAAAAACAACAAATGGGTCAATAATGAGGTTGAATAAGAAACCAAAAAGTTTCTGGAAACAAATAAAAATGAACACACAACAGTCCAAAACCTATGGCACACAGCAAAGGCAGTCCTGAGAAGGAATTCATAGCAATACAGACCTACCTAAAAAAGGTAGAAACATTTCAAATAAATGACCTAACCTTATTTTTCAAGAACTGGAGAAACAACAACAAACAAAGCCCAGAGTGAGTAGAAGAAAGGCAATAATCAAGATCAGAGCAGAATTGAATGACATAGAGAGTAAAAGAACAATTCAAAGGATCAACAAACCCAGGAGCTGATTTTTTGGAAAGATAAAAGAAATCAACAAGTCTTTAAGCAGACTCATCAAGAAAAAAAGGGAGAGGACCCAAATAAATAATATCAGAAATGAAAGAGGAGAAATAACAACTGATAACATAGAAATACAAAGGACTGTAAGAAATTACTATGAAAAAATATATGCCAAGAAATTTGAAAACCTTGATAAAATGGAGTAATTTCTAGAAAAATATAACCTTCCAACACTGAATGAAGAAGAAGCAGAAAGCTTGAACAGACTGATAACAGCTGGTGAGATTGAAGCAGTAATCAAGAAACTTTCAGCACAGAAAAGCCCTGGACCAGGCAGTTTCACAAGAGAATTTTACATAGCATTTAAGGAAGAGCTAATCCCTGTCCTTCTCAGGCTATTCGAAAAAATTCAAGAAGAAGGAACATTCCCAAAGTCTTTTTATGAAGCCAGCATCATCCTAATCCCAAAACCAGATAAAGACACAACAAAGAAAGAAAACTACAGGACAATATTGCTGATGAACATAGACGTTAAAATCCTCAACAAAATATGGGCAAAGCACATCCAGCAATACATTAAAAAGATCATCCACCATGATCAAGTGGGATTCATCCCAGGGATGCAAGGATGATTCAATATTCTCAAATCAATAAACATAATACATCACATAAACAAAAGGAAGGACAAAAATCACATGATCGTATCAATAGATGTGGAAAAAGCATTTGCTAAGTAAGGTACAGCACCCATTTATGATTAAAACACTCAGAAAAGTGGGAATAAAGGGGGCATACCTCAACATAATAAAGGCCATACATGAAAAACCTATAGCCAACATCATACTCAATGGCTGAAAACTAAAAGCTTTTCCACTAAGACTGGGAACAAGGTTGTCCACTTTCACCACTTCTATTCAACATAGTATTGGAAGTCCTAGCCACAACAGTCAGACAAGAAAAAGAAATAAAAAGCATCCAAACTGGAAAGGAGGAAGTAAAACTGTCATTGTTCACAGATGACATGATAGTGTACACAGAAAACCCCACAGACTCCACCAAAAAACTACTTGACCTAGTAAGTGAATTTTGAAAAAAAGCGGGATACAAAGTCAATATTCAGAAATCGAAAGCATTTTTGTACACCAACAATGAAATATCAGAAAGACAAACTTGGGAAAAAAATCCCGTTTTCTATAGCAACAAGAAAAATAAAGTACCTAGGAATAAACTTAACCTAGGAAGTAAAAGAACTGTACTCAAAAAACTACACAACACTGGAAAAAGAAATTAAGGAAGACACAAATAAATGGAAGCATATACTGTGTTCATGGATGGAAAAATTAACATCATTAAATTGTCCATAAGTTGTTCAAAGCAATTTATAGATTCAACGCAATCCCTATTAAAATACCAATGACATATTTCACAGGTATAAAACAAACATTTCAAAAATTAATATGGAACCATAAACAACCCCAAATAGCTGCAGCCATTTTAAGAAAGAAGGACAAAGTAGGAGGTCTCACAATACCTGACATCAAACTATATTACAAGGCCACCGTAATCAAAAAAGTCTGCTACTGGCATAAGAACAGACACATAGATCAATGGAACAGAATAGAGAGCCCAGAAATAAACCCATGTCTCTGGGGTCAATTAATATTCAATAAAGGGGGCAGAAGCATAAAATGGGAGTAAAAATATTCTCTTCAACAAATGGTGCTGGGAGATCTGGACAGGTCCATGCAAAAAATTGAAATTCAACCACCAACTGACACCATACACAAAAATAAACTCGAAATGGATAAAAGGCTTAAATATAAGTCACAACACCATAAAAGTCCTAGAGCAGAGCATAGACAGGAAACTCTCAGATATTCCACACAGCAATATTTTCACCAATATGCCCCCTAGAGCAAGGGACATAAAGGAAAGAATAAACAAATGGGACTTCATCAAAATAAGAGGCTTCTGCTTGGCTAAAGAAAACATCAGCAAAATGAAAAGGAGACCAACCGTATGGGAAAATGTATTTGCCAATGATACCTCAGACAAGGGTTTGAGCTCCAAAATATTTAAAGAACTTACACGACTCCAAACCAGGAAGACAGACAATCCAATTAAAAAATGGGCAAAGGACCTGACCATACATTCTACAAGGAAGACATACACAGGGCCCAGGGACATATGAAAGGATGCTCATCATCACTAGCCATCAGAGAATGCAAATTACAATGAGATACCACTTCATACCAGTAAGAATGGCCATCATAAACAAATCAACAAACAACAAGTGCTGGTGAGGTTGTGGAGAAAAGGGAACCCTAGTGCAATGTTGGTGGGAATACAGACTGGTACAGACACTGTGGAAAACAGTTTGGAATTTCCTCAAAAAGCTGAAAATGGGACTTTTGACTCAGTGATGATGGGATTATACCCTATAAATCCCAAAACACCAATTCAAAAGAACCTATGAATCTCAATGTTCATAGCAGCACAATTTACAATAGCCAAGTATTGGAAGCAACCTAAGTGCCCATCAAGAAATGAGTGGATCAAAAAGCTATGGTACATTTACACAATGGAATACTGCACAGCAGAAAGAAAGAATGAGCTACTACCCTTCATGACAGCATGGATGGAACTGGAGAGCATTATGCTAAGTGAAATAAGCCAGGGGGCAAAAGACAAATATATTATGTCACCTATAAGTGGAACCTAAACAACAAAACAAGCAAGAAAAACATAACCAGCAACATTGAAAGAAAAAACAAACCAACAGTAATGAGGAGGGCGGGCTGTTAATGGAGAAAAAGGGCAAAGGTCAAGCCAAGAAATGCGTATAAAGGACCTATGGACAAAGGCAAAGTGGGAAAGAATTGAGGGAGGGAGGTTGGGGAGAGAAGCAGGGGAAAGTGGTGGCAGGAAAATGGTGACAAATATACAAATGTATTTGAACAATAAAAATTTTTTTTAAAAAATTTAAAAATTTTAAAAAAAGGAAGCCAAATATGTTACAATGTTTAGGGAAATCCTGAGGTCTTCTTACTATTCCCCAACTACAATCCTCAAGAGGCAAATATTTAAAATTATTTTTAGTTTTCTATGTCATACTTATTTTTGTATTTTAAAATACCATATTAAATATGATTTTAATAAAAAAATAATTATACCTCCATATCTATATACATTTACCTATATCTACTCTTATCTATTTATCTATCTCTATCTATCTACTGTTGCTAAATCCATAGATGTCTGGAATAATTTTAAAAAGTAATTTTCTCATACTCATTGATACAGAGAAAAGATGGATGATTCACAAGGGGTGAGGGGCCGGAATTCTGGGTGAAAAGGTGAGAAGATTAAAAATACAAACTGGTAGTTACACAACAGTCACAGAGATATAAATTACTGCATAGGGAAAATAGTCAATAAAATTGTAATAACTATGTATGGGGTCAAGTGGGTACTGGAAATATCGTGGGCACATTCAGTAAAGTAGATGGTTGTCTAACTGCTATGCTGTACAACTAAAACTAATATAGAATAATTTTAAAAATAAATTGTAATTGAAGAATATAAATAAATAATAAATAAATAGCAGTTTCCTGGTCTATTTTTAGCCAATGTTTCTTTTTGAAAGTAGTAAGATTTATATTTATTTGGTACTTTTGCAGGATACTCAGATAAAAACTAAAAAAGACTACTTACAATATTGTATTTATTCATTTATTCTGTTGATGACTGAAATTTCCCCTTTTATTGTAATAAACATAATTAGTCCTACTGTACATATTTCAATATTTAATTTTTAACTAGCACTTAATGAAATATTAAGGCAGGAATAGATGTGTAGAAAAGGAAAGAATTATAGTTCTTGCAGGTAAATGGTGTGTAAGTGAGAAAACAACATTCACTCAAGAAGCTCTTAAATAAATAATATTGCTTGTGATGGACATTTGGAAAGTTAAGGACAACTAGATGTTCTCTATTTAAAGTAGAAAGATCTTGCCCTGGCTGGCGTGGCTCAGTGGATTGAGCACCAGCCTGCAAACTAAAGGTTGCCAGTTCAATTCCCAGTCAGGGCACATTCCTGGGTTGAGGGCCAGGTCCCCAGTAATGGGAATGTGAGAAGCAATAGCACATAGATGTTTCTCTTTCTCTCATTCTCTCTCCTTCCTTTCTAAAAGTAAATAAAAACTTTTAAAAAATAAAGAAGAAAGATCTTGTATAATATAAAGTCAAGTAGTTAGAAAAGGTGCAAAAAATATTTGTGCTTTGGCTTGGAAATGGCAAAATAGTCAAATTTGAATTAGCAATAGGAGGGTTGATTACCAAAAGTTTGACAATGAAAAAATAAAATGGGAAGCAAATAAAAATAAAATAAAAAATTTCACTGTGTCATTTAGCAAGGTAGAAGGAAGAGGGTTGTTCTAGAGTATGTTTCAGTGTGAAAGGGCACATATTGCAACTCAAAATGATTTATTTTTTTTCCACAATCAGAATAAATCTTTCCTACTAAATTTGAAACTCACCAGGCATTGAATGTTTGGCCATTTGTCCATCTCCAAGGCTCTCCTTGTTTTCTGCTCAACCCAATCCAGTGCATAAGCGTTCCTGTGTGGTTCTTCAAAAATTCCTTTCAAAAAATCACAGTGCGTTCTTTTTAGTAGTTTAGAGTGCATTGTTGAACATAATTTTCACCCAGTCAGATTTTATGCTTTATGTATTAATTTGTATGCCCTAATGCTCTACAGCAACAAACAGCACAGATGTTTAGTTTGGTTTTACCTGGAAGATTTTTACTCTGCTCTTTTATTTCTTACACTCTCTGGGCTGCCCTGACTTGAATTATTTTTAAAGGTAACTATAATGTCTCCATTGGGAAATTGATTAGAAAAACATTTGACTTCCTATTCTAGTTCTTATGCATAAACTATCAGTATGTTTAAGTCACAGAGGGAATGACACAGACAATAAATGAGTATGATATTATGCCTATCTGGGTGGCAAAATCAGGAGCTAAGCAGTTTTTATGGGAACTAATGCAGCATGTTCTTAAAGGTGACAGAGAACTAATGCTTATATTTTGTTTTGTGCACAGCTTTGCTCTCAAAATCATGGAAGTGGGATTTTTGGGGGGAGGGTAGAGGATTTAATTGAAAGTATAAGTATTGCTAAAATATCAAAACTCGGTAATAAATTATTTTGACTAAATGTCAGAATAAGAAGGTCACTGCTATTGTGTTTTCTCATAGAATCAGAAACCTAGTTAACTTCTGAATATCATTTATTGCAACACAAAATATTGAGTGGTGAGTAGAGTCTCTCCTCTATGGGATCCTCACTATAGGACCACAGATCAACAGTCAGCTTTTCCTTACAAACAATCTCTGTTACCTTTAGCTCTGGAGTCCAAGTCCCTATTTCTTTGTCCTCTCTCATTTATTCCATTCATTGTCTCATTTTCTTCAAACTGTATGGATTTTGTTTGCATTTTCATTTCTAAATTTCAAGAGCCTTATCTTTGGTTTATTTCAATTTTCCCAGACTATTCTTGAGAGAATACAATTGTAAAGGTATTAAAAACAATCTATTTAATAATTTAAGAACACTGAACAAGACTTTAGCTATATAAACAATATACATTGTGATTAAGGACATACCATCACAAGCTAACTTCCTTGTGTTTAAATCCCAGTTCAACATGTTATGGCTGTGTGACATCACTGGGTTACATACCGTCTCTGTGCTTTACTTTCCTTGTCTTTTAAAGAGGGATATTTGAACATTTACTTCACAAGCATTGTTTGAAGATTACATAAGTTTTTGTAGTTTCATTGCTTAAAACAGTCTGACTTCCATTACTGAGTATTAACTTTTGCCATTTTTCTTCCTTTTTGTGCAAACTTAAACTCTGAAATAATTGAAAATTATTCCTTTTCTTACCAGATCTTTATGTGTATCAATCCAAGCAAGTTCTGATCTCTGTGAACTGCAAAATGTTTTACTGCCTGTCCAATTTCTGGTATCATCAGAAAAATAGAAGCACTTATATCTTACTTCAATCCATTTTCCTGGACATTTTATAGTTTGGGGATTTTTTATAGCTTGGGAGTTTCTTGAAGACAGTATTATGCATACTGAGAAAAAAGAGAAAGAAATGGTCAAATTTTTAAAAAGTTAAAATGTATTTCTATTCATTCTAGTGAATCAATTTTACTTTTTACTCCCATGGTTTGAGCTTCATTCATGCACAAGTGAATGAATTCAATTCCTCTGTCTGCAAAGAAGACATTTAGTGGTCAGGTAATCAATACTTTAGCTTCTTTTCCTGGCTTCCGTTTTGAGAAATGGAACCACCAGCCTCTCATGGTCTCTACTGACACCCTAGGAAAACAACGCATAACATTGAGCAGTTAAGGAAGAGACCTAGAGACCTGGATATAATTTAAGCCCCAAGGATTAAGGTAACAAATGAAGGCTTCATTTTACCATGAAGACATGAGAAGATCATAGACAAAAGAGGATATAAAAGCTATGGAAGTGAAACTTGCCATAAGTTAAAAACAAGTCATTGAAATATGAGTTAGTGAAACATCTCTTCTACTTCAACAATATTCAGCGCCAAAGGAACTGGAATAATAATGAATATATGTGTATTGTTTTGAGAATTTACTATTTCAGGTTTTTAGTTAGGTGTTGAATAATGAGAATAAGATACTGTCCCTGCCCTCCAAATGTTTGAATAACTTAATGAGACTAAGAAAGAGCAAAGTAACCCTGAGTGGTATGGTTCAGCGGGTTGAGGTTTATCCTGCAATCCGAAAGGCTGCTGATTTGATTCCAGGCCAGGGCACATGCCTGGTTTGTGGGCCCGGTCCCCGGTTTGAGAGCATGTGAGAGGCAATCAACCAACGTTTCTCTCGTACATTGATGTTTCTCTTCCTCTTTTTCTCCCTCTCTTCCCCCGCTCTAAAAGTAAATAGATAAAATCTTTCAAAAAAAAAAAAAAGAGCCAAGTAAATGTTCAAATGTAGGGCTAACTCCAAAGCTGTCTCTCCTCACTCTGCAATGACTGTTTATTTTTGTAATATTCAGAGCGGATCGAGGCTACTACATGTGGGTAATAAAATATATTGTTTCCACACTTTCAAAAATCAAATTAATCAATGTATGTAAATACCCCTTATAGAAACCCTTCTCTACAAATGTTTAAATTGCAGATATTTAAATATTGATTAACAATGAGTTCCTAGGATTCTATGGTGACAGAGGAAGCTGTGAGCAAAAAGTAAATCTAGTACTCTTGTAAGTGACAAAGGAAACAAGAATCAAGAGTATAAAGTGTTACTTTAAGTGCCAATTTAAGTGCTAAATTAAGCAAAGCATGCAATGGACAAATGGACAATCAAGTACTGAAGACTATTAGGCCCTAGCTCAGTAATTAAAACCCAGCTTTGAATTCTTTTCACAAAATGAATCCATAGCACGTAGAAGAAAATAAATACCTTCCATTTTACAAATCTACTCTAACAGAGGAAATCTTGCAACATATCACATGTTATTATTTTGGTTTTTTCTTCATCAAAATAGGGTAGAAATAAACAAATACTTCATAGAACCACTCTTAGTAATATTACTTACTTTTGCTCTAACAGAAATGAGAGTAAAGACATACTGTAATTATAGAGGGAGTGTTGCATGGTGGTTAAAATATCAGGAGTTATACAAGAATCACAATTCTGGCTCCGGAATTTATTTGTGAGAGGCAACTTATTCACTCTGCCCTCTATTTCTTTGTCTGTAAATGGAATTCATAATTATACCTATTTCATAGTCTTGTAAGAATTAAATATAAATATTAAAAGTAATGTATTTGACATTAGCTCTTTAATTCAAAGTACTCTCAATTAAAAAAATAGTTATTGATGTTGCTATCTTGTTATCATCTGAGAATATATGATTATTTTACTCCAAGATCAAGAACTCCTCTAAAGTCAAGAAGATGACTGTAAAACCTGAGAACTGATAGGAACCCAAGGAAAAATCTCTACAAACCTATTTATTACTCCAGAACTGAGAGATTGCACACAGAGCTTGAGATATGTATGTTTGGGCTTGCTAACCATATATAACCACAGAAAGCTTATGAATTAAATCCACTCACCTATTATTATAAATACCACTGAAATAACAGTAAAAGTGATGAGTGTAAGAGTCACCCAGTTGCTCTTTGACTTGTGAACTGCAAAATAAATAAAACATTTATAAAAAAATTTCCAGAGAAACTCTGAGTGGGTATTTATTTATTCATTTATTCTTCCATAATAATTCATTTATTCTTCCATAATAATCAGTCAAGAAACTCATTAAAATAATCTATCTCTTAAAGTAATAAAAGATAGAATGGCCGTACAAGGTGCTAACAGGGCTAAGTGGCAATGATTGGTATCGCTGTTCAGAAGGGTGGCAGGGGATGGAGAGATCACTTAGACATGATGGAAGGCTGGAGGAAAGGCAATGCTATTTCAAAATGTGGAAACATTATGAGTGGGGATTGTAATCAAGAAAGCATAAGGGTCATCAAAAGGTCTATGACTGGCCCTGGCCAGTGTGGCTCATTACAGGTTACAGGCCGGAGTGTCACCCTGTAACCTAAGTGTTGTGGGTTCCATTCCTGATCAGAGCACACACCTGGGTTGTGGGTCTGGTCCTCAGTCCGGGCATGTGCAATCCTTGGTCCAAGCGCATCTGATCCCTGGTCTGGGTGCACAGGGGAGACGACTAACTGATATTTCTCTCTCCCATTGATGTTTCTTTCTTTTCCTTCCTCTCTCTTTATAAAAAGTGGAAAACTAATGTCCTCTGGTGAGGATAAAAAAAATTTGTTTAAAAAAGGACTATGACCAGACAAATGGCTATAACAGATATATCAATTTATAAAAACAAAAGATGGGGAAAAAAGGAAAGTCATAAGATCATATAACAGAAGAATATAACTGCGGGGTAAATTGTTTTCTTTATCCTGTAAGCAATGAGGGGAAGAAGTTAAATGCATTTGAGCAAGACAATGTCAATAAAAGCAGTATTTTGTGGTGAGGAGAATGAATTAGAAAGGAGGTGGGATTTGGTACTCGTGGAAATGTTAGGAGATTACGAACAAACAGTAAAAATTTTATTAATGATTAAGATAATCTTGTCTGATACATTATTAGTAGATGCAGAAACAATCTGGGAGGAATGTGTGTGTACAATGTGTACACACACAAAGATATTTAAATATCAGAAGAAAAAGATTTGAAGAAAAAAATAAAAAAGAGCAGAGCAGGCCTAGTGAGTGAAACCTGAGTTTTGTCAGGGCGATAAATTTTACCTTTACCCATCTTTCTTACGTTTTCAGCTGGCATGAACAAAAAACAAACAATAAAAAACAAACAAACAAACCCAGATTGGTAAGAGTAAAGCACTGTATTAACTGGTGTAGGACACATTGCATGACAGAAACCTAAAAGAAGAGGAATTCAAAGCAGTGGCTTAGAACTCTGGCTTATATAGCATTTTTAACAAAATTAAAAAAAAAATCTACAGAGAAATGAGAGGACAAAGAAAAAGCAATGTCAGGCTTCCAAGGGTGGCAACTCCGGGAAGGTAAATAATCAGGAGGGAACTAACAGAGTAAGATGCACTGTCTCTGGACTGATAAGAGTCTGTCTCCAGCAAAGGGAGAATCCATATTCTGTCTTTAGACAGAACAAGAGGGGAAGGGCAGGGCAAGTTTTTCCTACATTTACTGCTTACTAATAACCTTCAGCTCAAAATAATTTTTATGTCAAAAAGCATACTTTGGGGTGATGTATTCTGGTTTCGTTCTGTTCCATGCTCACACTAAAAGTGAAAAGGATTCTAATAGAAGAAATACATCTGCAATATTTTCAGACAATTTGATTATATAAGAAGAAATAACGACAGAAGCAACTTTATTTCCTTTACTTTTCTTGTATGATAGCTTATAACTGCTAATGCTACACTATGTTAAACAGTACCAGTGAGCAATTGTTTACGGCTTGTTGTTAATCTTAAAAAAAAACCTGTAAAATTTCATTACTAAACAACATAAAAATGCTGTATAAATTTAACATATAACATTAGCAAGTTAGGGAAGTATTCTCTTATTCTTAGTTTCCCAAGAGGGTTTATCTCAGTCACTGAATGTTACCAAATGCTTTATATACATTTATTGAGTAATCATGTGGTTTCACTTTTTAAGCCTATTAGTGAGGTAGTTCTAGATAGTGGGGCAGGCAGCACTGGGTATATAAGACATTTTGGACAAAGGAGAAAGGGAAGGTATTAGATATCAGAAGAGAGAATGGACTATTTACAAGTAGTTGAGGAAAGGACAACACACAAGGCAGGAAAACCCTTCCTAGGCAACTCAGAAGCAATGGGACACGGGCAGGCATTTTAACAGGCACCTGCCTGAAGCCATCTTGTTTACTATACTTAATTCAAATTAGGCTAAAATGACATCCTAAACTTTCCTTCCTGAACTAGGTTTCTCTGTCTGAATCTCTTGGGCAAAAGGTAGCAAGGGTCAAAGCTTCTTTCTGAGTCTTTTGTTTCTTAATCAATATCCCCCAAAACAGCTTTGGCGTGGCAGAATTTTGGTCCCTTAACAACATGGGGATTAGGCATTTATATACCTCAAGAAGTGATCACTCCAATTTTTAAATATTTCTGATGGTTTTCCAAGGGGTGGGAGGTAGGGTGTCAAAAGGAAGAAGATTAAAAAGTACAAACTTTCAGTTACAAAATAATAATGTATAGCACAGTGGATTGCATCAATAGCGTTAATAACTATGTACGGTGACAGATGGTTACTAAACTTATTGTGGTGATCACTTTGTAAGGCATATATATGTTGAATCATGCTGTATACCTGAAACTAACATAATATTGTATATTATTTGTCGACTACAATTTAAAAAATGTTTAAATGATGGTTAAAAAAGGGGAAAATTTTGAAGACAGATTCACATACACGCAGAAATGCCCCATCAACGTGATAACGACCATCTACAAGCCAAGGAGAGTGGCTGGACCCCATCCTTCATTCTGTACAGCCCTCACAAGCAATCAATCTCACCAACACCTTAATTTCAGACATTTGGCTTCCAGAACTGTGGCACAATAAATATCTGATATTTAAGCTACCCAGTTTGTCATGCTTTGTTATGGCAGTTCTAGTAAATTAAAACACCAAAATACTTATAAACTAAAAGAAAATAGATTTTTGGAAGGTATAAAATGCCGTGTATCTAATGAGAAAAATGAAAAAATTGAAATAAATATTATAGTTATTGAAACGGTAATGTCAGAGTAGGCAGTTAGTTATTCACAACACAAGAAGGAACAAACAAAACCTAATTGTGTTGCGAAGCAGCAGTTTCACACTCACCTTGGGGAGTCACTGGCGTTGCTCTGGATGACATCCTGCTTAGTCAGCTTATCAGGAAAGACAACCTTATAGCCACCTAGGGTGTAATGGGAATTGCTGCCCGGAATTAACAGAGAGAGAAAGAAAAAGTTACCTGAAATACCTCCCACGCTGAGCGCATGCACAGTGGAAGTCAAGTGATGATGCAGACTATGAGGCATGCGCAGTAGGAGCCAAACTGGCGGCCACAATAAAGGGGCGGGGGGGGGGGGGGGGGGGGGGTGGGGACTAACCTGGGAAAGTCTAGGAAAGAGATTGAACAGAGGGAGGGCACCGACACAGGACAAGCCAAGAAGAAGGTCAGATAGTTTGAAAGAAAGCCTTGTCTTTCCCAAAAACCCAAGGAAATACATGCAATCTTAGCAAGGACCCTATAGCCGGCCAGCGCTCTGCCTCTCCCGAGAGGGTAGTATCACTTGTTGCTCTTCACTCTAATCTTGCCACTGCCGCTAATCTCTTTTGCCAGTGTCCCTAAAATACTTTTCCTGTGACACCACTGAAGAACCACAGCCTCCGGTAACAGCTACTGCTTGTACTCTACATTTTCAAAAAATCTAAAAGAGAGGACATGTGCTCGATTACTTAAAAATATCTTTATTCGTATAAGCCAGAAGTGAGCTATTTCTACCCATCCTTGGGCTGTGCAGGTTGAGACAGAAAAAAACATTCTTGGTTATAGGATGGGGCACAGCTGTGGTCACCAACTTCTTTCTTTTCTGTAAAAGTACTATAAAAAAAAACACATTGGGATGTAAAACACATACCATATAATTTACTTCAAGTGTCCTCATATACATAAGCTCGTTCCCGCTCTTGCAGATATACTTTACATTTCTCCTAAATCTTTTATTCCTTTACAGAGCTACTTCCTCAATTACTTTAGTAGTTTTCTGTAAGTAAATAAGTCGGCATTCTTAAGCTGTCCTGTGTTTCATCTATTTCTTTTCCCTTTTTTCTCACTCACCCAGTGAAACAGACTGTCTTGCCTGCTGTCACGTAGCTCTGGGATGATGATGGCAAATGTGATAAACCAGAAAGAGTATGAGTAAACTTGTTTTGGTATGAGCTAAAACTAGACAGACTTGTTAGTTCAGGAAAGCGAAAGAAAAATTGCCTCATCCATAAAAAGAGTATCATGAAATTAGCAAAATATTTTTATCTTCAGACAAGAAAAATCATGTTACTTGGCATATTGCATGCTACCACATGGACTATGGAATTCATATTATTATAGCACTCCATGTTATCTCTTGGAATTATCTCATTTAGATGGGGGGGCTCAAAAGTTGGAAAATTTTCAGTTTAGGAAATTGATAAGCCTAAGTAGTAAATGCATGTGAAAAACTGTTGTTTCAGGAACTGCAGATAAGGTCCACCCTGACCCAGGAAATCACAGCGATTGATCTTTGGGCTTCTCAAGAGACCATAAGCAATCAAGGTGCCCACGTTCAGTCACTGTGCTCCAGGTAGAGACATTCGGCCACCTGGGGTAAAGTAGGGCAACTAAAGACAACCCACTGCGTGGGGCACAGCTAGAGATGGCTGAGCCTTCGTGTTCCAGGGAGAGACAGCTTCCCAGGGCGAGAATGCTGCAGTTTTTTTAATCTAATTTTCCCTGAATTCCAAACCCCTCACCACACTTTGTTTTCTGTTATAAAAAGTCTGGCTTGCAAAGAAGTGCAGGACGGTCCATTAGAGTACAAACCCGCTGTCCTCTCACAGATAGCCGGTCATCTGAATAAATCGCA